AGTTATGTAAACATTGACCCACACGCATATGGTGGCTAACTTCAACATCGATTACCCTAATTTAGACAAGTTAGCTATCTAGTATTTTATATCTGTGATCATGGAGGTATATAAACTATACTGGAGCGCGCACTGCGTATACCGTCCGTGTAATGAAAAACGAGCCGACGCGTTCGATCGTTTCCCCCACCACTGCAGGGCAACTTTAATGCCATGTACCGTATGGCGTATAATAGCACGACGTACCTACTACCTTTACGTGTATAATACATTATTTTTTTCAAAAATTATTAAATTAGGAATCAATAAAAATAATTTAATATCATTTAATTTTTGAATAGCAAAACATTAAAAGTATTAGCCCTTAGTATAGTATACTCTAATATATATTTGAGAAATACAATACTTATCATTACTACACATACAATATAAAATTAAAAATACTAATGAAAATATTTATTATTTCCTTTAAAAATATTAATAACATATAATTTAACATTCATTTACATAATATCATACTAAAATAAATTACATTCAAATTATAAATAAAAGTATAAAAACAAATCAAATACACTCAATGAGTAGTTTTAACAGTTTAAATATTGTTAAATAAAATTAATTTTGTTAATTTCTGCCTTAATGATGATTTATTTTTAAATACTTGTTTAGAGTTTATTTCTTTGGCATAATGACGCATTCTTATATTAACAAAACATTGACTTAGTGCAGTAAAGAGGCTATACTCATGACTTGGGGAACCAATATCAACAGTAATAGGATGTGAATTTGGGAAAAAAAATAGAGTACTTTTGTTCAATATATTTTTTTTTGCTAACATTACAATGTTTTGTTTCACATTGTTATGTAATTTTTTATTTATAACAACAACAGCTTGAAAAGAGTTTACAAGCTCTTGAATAATATAAGTGATACACCTGATGAAACTATTTTCAATTTCCCCCGATTTACAAAAGATGTAAAATGTGCATCTTTTACATAGCTATGATCTGTTAGATCACTTTTTACTAATATATCAATACAGTAAGGACACATAACTTTTTTGCAAATATTTTTTACAATATATCCAGCAATATAATCAAGTATTTCATTAGTATATTCAATTAACTGTATTACGATTATTAACGAAATAACCATTTTTGTTCATAAAATATATTAGAATGTTTTTGACGAATTTTAATTTTAATAGAAAAATAAGGTTAAAGACAAAAAAACAGCATAAACAATTAACCAAGAGTTCAGAGCCATGAGAACATACTACGTATAGTGGCCGGCGTGTGGTAATCTTTTGCCCTGCAGTGGTGGGGGAATCGTTCGAACGCGTCGGCTCGTTTTTTGATAACGAGTGCGCGCTCCAGTATAGTTTATATACCTCGATGTCTGTGATAGAATTTGAATTCGAACTGATAAGTGATAATATACGATGATAGCTGATACATTAAACCGTCCGACCGTCGTGCGCGTATTAATTTATATTATTGTTCGTCATCAAAACTAGTCTATCCGTGGTAAACGTATAGTCGTGTTGCCATCGTTGTATTCGTTAGCTCATAGTTCGATATTATTTTGTGTACATAACCTAAAAGTATAGTTTCTACTCAGTGGTTGAATTGGGGGGGGGAGGACGCGGGGGGACGGAGTCCCACTTCTATTTTAAAAATATTTTAGCGTACCCCTTCTAATTTCTTTTAATGGGACGCTGGGGACGGGAATCATTTTAAAAATTGTACTAAATTAATGGAAATATTTTTATTTTAGATTCTGAGTGAAACGATGAATGTATTGATTTTACAATGATGTGTGTTTTTTTTTTATTTATTTATTTTTTTTTTTTGTGTCTGTGTACACGATAAGTAGTCGAAATAATGCTTCGATTTTCAACTTCAGTATCTTGTTCGATTGGAAAGTGAATATCGTTGGTGCATTGGGGAGGTCAAAATTTAAATTTCCCAGTAGTTTTCAAAAGCGCTGGGAAAAACAAAAGAAAAATTAAGGAAAACGGGAATTTTTACACAAAATCTGTTTTCGAGAAAATCGATTTTGGTTTTTGGTGTAACTTTAAAACAAATGACCGTAGATACATGAAATTTTCAGTGGTTGTTTATATTTGCATTTTCTATACACGATAACATTTTCAAAATATTTTGATTTATTTTGAACTGTTTAGGGACATTTTCAGTTTCCAATTTTATTAGTTTTTTTATTTTATGAATATCAATAAAAATTTATTTGTTGAGTAAAAATACTTGAAAATTTAATACAAGGCTACTACTATATTGTTACAATGGCATTTGAAAAATATTAAAAATCGTTAGTCACAGTTTTTTTTTTAAGCATTTAAAGTTCAAAAAATGACAAAATATGGAAAAATCACGAAAATTTGCAAATTATTTCGAGTTAGAAATTCATAAAAATTTTTCTTTTTAAATCTAAGATATGAAAATGTTATACAAGATTCCTTATAAGATTTCCTACATTTATCAAAAATCTTACGGAAAACAAATGACCGTAGATACATGAAATTTTCAGTGGTTGTTTATATTTGCATTTTCTATACACGATAACATTTTCAAAATATTTTGATTTATTTTGAACTGTTTACGGACCTTTTTAGTTTTCAATTTTTTTAGTTTTTTTTTTTTTCTATAAATATCAATAAAGTTTTATCTGTTGGGCCAAAAAGTGTAAAAAATTAATACAATGCTCCTGATATATTGTTACAATATCAATTGAAAAATATTAAAAATACATATGCACAATTTTTTTCTATAAGCATTTAAAGATCGCATTTTGACAAAATTTATCAAAATCTCGAAAATTATCAATCATCGTAATTAATAAATTATAAAATGTTCAGTTTATATAGCTAAGGATTGAAAATTTAAAACAAGATTCCACGTAAGTAGTTAATTCTGTTACCAAAAAATCAAAAAAATACACAAGCACAATTTACTTTTATGGTCATTTTAAGTTCAAATTTGGGACGAAATTACATATTAAAAAACCTAGCATACCTATTTTAGTTATTTTGTTGTGAGGGTATAATACTATTCGTGGGTACTTGAAACTTCTTAAGTACACTATATTAGATATCTATGATAGTATCAGGGTTTTTTATTGCTGTATAACGTGTTATAAGTACCTAATGGATATTGTGATATGATTAATTTGGAATTTATTATAGGTCAATTTTTTTTTTAATACCATAGATATGTATATAATATGTCTTAAACCTAGACTACTTAAATGAAGTATCCGCAATTCGAGGATTTAGAGACTTTAAAGACTTGAAAGATTCCTCAAAAATACCAACATTAAACCCACTTTTAACTGCAATTTCAACTATTGCTGTGTCTTCATCTGAATGTGAAAGATCATTTAGTTCCATGAACAACATAATAACTCCTAAAAGAAACGTACTAACTTCTGAACACATAGCATCATTAGTGTTTATTAGTTGTGTTGGACCACCTGTTCAATTGTTTAAACCAGACCACTATGTAAAAAGTTGGATTAAAACGGGTAAAAGAAGTGCAGAAGAAACAAGATGTCCAAAACGAGACGAACATGACATAGATCATTCATATAAACATTTATGGGCATATTTAAATTTATAAAACAAATAACAATTATTATTATGTATTTTACAATATTTTATTTTTTATTTTTAAATAAAAAGGAATATTTGTTTATTGCTGTATGGTGTAAAATGTCATTGTAGCGGGAGGGGGACATATGCTACCACTTAACAGTAAGACATTTAAATGTTCGGGGACGCACATATCTTTTATACTTTTGCATCCCCCTTCTATTTTTTTTCCAATTCAACCACTGTTTCTACTTTCTTTAACTACAGCGTATGGTGACTGGTGAAGAATTCTTCATCATTAATGACGATCGTCGTGTGACTCGTATGAGGTTTATAAATGTATTTGTTTAGTCCGTGACATTAATATTGTGATTTGTGATCCGGTAAATATAATATATATCTTTGTATATATTATAATATTATTCCGAGAATATTTTTTTTCGCTGAGTCACGTAAAGGAACGTGCGTAAGTACTAAATAATAATTGTGCTTACAGTTCCTGCAGTACCTAGTATATTATATGTAAGTACCCATATACCTATATATTTTCAGTGAACCTTAAATAACATGTCTAGCAAACGAAAAACTAAAAGCCTTAGTGCTTTAAGAGGACGCCACACATCTATATTTCTAGTGTAAAAACACGTTTCGCGGGAACAGACACCATTCAGCATACATTTAAAGTAGAATGTTCAAACTTTCAGAGTTTATAAATGAGAATTATATCTATGATGTAGCTTTCGTATTTTTTTGATAGTGTAATTATATATGAAATTATTAACAGTACGTAAATATTATGAAAATAAATAATGTACATTAAATTTGAGATGTGTATATTATATTATATTATATTATATTATACATAAAAAAGTACTTTACACAATTTATATTATCCATATTTAGTAATAGTGGTACCTAACTTACGGAAGCGTAGGAGTGCTACCCAAATTATAGGAAATGTTTTTCAATATTTGTTATGATTGATATAATTTCTGTAATTACAAATAATTTATCTGTTATTACAAATTACTTATTTGCTTTAACGGATATATTTTCTGTTATTACAAACAGTTTATTTGTTATAATGGATATATTTTCAACTTAGTTTAAGCATAATTTTTTTTCAATATATAAAATAACGGATATAATTTCTGTAATTACAAATAATTTACCCGTTATAACGGATATATTCTCAACTTAGTTAGTCTCAACTAATTTGTGTTCATATTATATATTATGAATTTATGATTGATTAACATACATTAGTATTATAATGGACATTGATGATATAATATCGAGGTATTTTAGTTTAAGTTTACCTTACCAGGAAATACTGTTACATTTAAATTATAATTACGGAATAAATATAAGTATGCGTACACTTAAGAGAAAAATGGCCAACTTAAATCTATTTAGGAGAAAGCAATTTACTCCAATTGAAACTGTTAGGTTATACATTAAAAATATTGTGAATACTTCAAATCAACTGCATTGGTATAAATGGGTCCATTTAAAGTGCATCAGACAAGGTTTTACAGTAACACAGGAAACCATTCGTCATCTACTGCTTGAAGTTGATCCAGAAGGAGTAGTATTCAGTAGAGATGTTCTGGGTACCCGGCAATTACTCGATGGCCGGGCACTCGATATCATATTTAAGACTCGGCTCTTACTCGGTACCCGGCGAAATACTACATTTTTACTCGACTCATATCCAATGGCAAACGACAATCTATTTATAAATATAGTATTAGTGTATTACCTATAATTAACATAACGGGAGAAATCTAAAATTCTAGGGTAATGAATTATAATTTATTTTGGTACTTATTAATTATTATATTACTTAGAATAATTGAACCGATTTACGATAGCCAGTTGATTATAAACAAATCATGTTTTTCTTCTATGAATTACAAAAATAAATCTCGTGTTTACCGTTTAAGGTTTATATATAAATTATATGATAACAATCTGCAATCAAAACCCGTAATAAAATATAAATTATTACTATACAAATATTCTCAAGTATAAGGAATCACTAATCAGTAATTACTTTACAGTCTAGTAGTCTACACTGCGCAGCTAGTACAGTTGTAGTACCTACCTACTACCTATTGCTTTTTTGTTTTAAATTTTTTAAATTCATTCAATGGACGAGGCCGAGGACGAGAAAGTGCCATGTATCGGTACGTAATACATTTTATGTAATTTTAAACTCTATTATTTTTTATTTGTTTTATTACCTGGGAATCGTAGCTTTAAAAATCACACATTCACTATTTATCTATATGTAAATACTAAATAGTACCTAAATATATGAATATCAATTTTACATTATTTAATAAAGACTAAAGAGCTATTTTAAAATAAAACAATTATAAATACTTAAATAGGATTCATATAACATAATATTATATTATGTTATAGGCTAACCAAATATTTATTAAAGTATTAAATATTAAGTATTAAGTATAACCACAGTTTAGCCATTTACAATAACTAATAAAATTAATTGTTTTTTTACTCATATTATATTAGATAGGTAGTCCATCATTTTATTAAACACACTTGATAAAAGTAAATTAACAATTAAAATAAAACCAAGATTTAAAATCTCAACTGTATTATGAATATTTGGTAGTATTTGGAGCATTCCGGTGTACCTTAATAAATAATTGGTACCAGAGCTACCTACTGGTCAATTTAAATTTAATATTATTATTATTTATTTATTTTATATTTTAATAGAGCCATTATTAAAAACAAAAAAATTAGGTTTAATTTGGGAATATTTTGAAGAGTCTACATGTGACCTGAGTAGAGTTATTTGTAAACAATGCAAGCAAAGGGTATACAAAAGATTTTGGAAAAAGATGACTACTTCCTCTATGAGGAAACACTTAGAATCAAAACATAAACCATTGTACAAAGAAATGTTAAAATCTGAAGTAAGTTAAGAATTTATAATAATTATGAAATTATAGTTGGTTAATGGTTAGGTATTATGAAGATTATAAAAGTAATATATTAATATTTTGTATCTATTATTCTAAGGAATCAAAAAAGGCCAAAAGCATTTAAATGTTAAATCTCCTACATGTGATATTAAGACTAAAAGTCATCAACTATCTATTTACAAATCAATGACTAAAACAGGATGTTGGGATACAAATGATAAAAAATCCAAAGTAATTCATAAAGCAATTGGTGAAATGATTTGTGTTGACAATAAACCGTATAATTTAGTTGAACGGACAGGGTTTAAAAAACTCATGGAAACTGTTAAATCACAATATAAAGTAAGCTTGTTTCCATTTTTATTATATTAAATAATAAATAAATGTAAATTTCTTTTTTTAGGTACCTACCTACCTGGTCGCACATATTTTACTGATAATATTATTCCAGAAATGTATGTTGAACTTAAATTAAAAATTATGGATATGCTGAAGCAGGTTCATACTGTATCGCTTACATCTGATATTTGGACATGCAGCCACAACAATGAAAGTTTTTTAAGTTTTACATGTCATTGGATTTCTAATGATATGATACAACATCATTGTGTCTTAAATGTTAGACATTTCCCTGGAAGACATACAGGCCTCGCCATTAAAGATACATTAGAAAGACTATTGCAGGAATGGGATTTAGAAAAAAAGATTCATTTATTAGTACGGCGAGTGCCGAGTGGGAAACAACTACCTAATATTTAGCGTAATATTAAGTATAACTAGCTGTCCCACCCGTCGTTGTCCTGGGCAAAGATTTGTATTTTTAATAAATATATTTGTACAAAATATACCACATTCCTTCTAATTATCTGAGTATAATAACACAAGGCTGCAGGACCGTGGACAAATTAACTTATTATTTAACTTATTAAATTAATATATTAACTGATTAATATAGAAAATTAGAAAACTGTAAGTTAAATATGACATATTTTGGTACCTATTCTAGGTGTTATCCTAGAAAGTAGGAATTCCATATATTTTTTAACTAAAGTACTTATAATGTATTTTTTTTAGAGATAACGGAGCAAATATGAAAAAAGGTGTCGATGATGCTTCGTTATGCAGTTCTGGTTGCTTTCTACACACTATTCACCTTCTTGTAACCGAATCGATAATGAGTCAAAAATCTGTTCAAGACTTAATGATTCATGCCAGAAAAGTGTCTACACATTTTCACCAATCATCATCTGCCACTGATAAACTTAAGTCTATTCAAATTAAACTTGGCACTCACCCTAAGAAACTTATTCATTACATTTGCACTATGTTGGTATAAATATTAAATACAAGTTAAAATTGTACATTCTATTTTTTATAATTTGGTCTACCTAATTTGTATTTAAAGCGCACAGCTTGTTTATTTTTAACAAATATGTCTCCCCTATTAATATAGATAAGTGACACCAACTATCTTCATTAAGTAAAAATTTAAAAATACAAATAAAATTAATATTAGTTATTTTTTCAGGTGGAATTCCAGTTTTATATGTTGGAACGATTGTTACAATTAAAAACTGCCATTTTAGTATATATAAGTGATGTTGAATCAACTCTACCGACTTTTAACCCCAATGATTGGTTATTAATGGAATCATTAATACATTTACTAAAGTCTTTTGAGAGGCTCACCAAACGTATAAGTTCAAATAAATCTATTATTAGTGAAGTTATACCGGCAATTATGATATTAGATACTTTTTTGAATCAACCTAACACTTCTCATTTTGGAGTTGCAACAAAATAAAGAAATTGCAACAACATCAAATATCGACCAAATTGAAGAACCTATGTCTCTTAACTATACAGATTTGGATGACTACCATAATTTCAATAAGGATCTAGTTGTCGAATTTGAAAAATATTGTAATATGAAATGTGTTTCGATTGATGAAGATCCAATTAAGTTGGTGGAAAATAAATTTTGAAAGTTTTCCATTGATTGGAAATAAATTACTATTACAAAAATATTTATCAGCGCCAGCATCCAGTGTTTATTCTGAGAGGTCGTTCTCAGAGGCAGGATTAGTATATGAAGCTAAAAGAAATAGACTTCAGCCTCAAAATGCTGAACAACTTTTGTTTATTCATCATAATATAAACAAATTTTAAATATTTTTATTGTATAATGATAATATATAATAATGTTAATTACTGACAGGATACCTATTATAATTTAATTTGTTTTATTAATAATTTGTTAATTTTTATTAAACTATTAAGTTTTATTTTTATATTTAAACAGTTTAAAGACTAAATTTAAACGTTCAGAGATTTTAAATTTTAAATAAAGAATTATAAAAATGTATTGTCATAATACATTATATGTAATGTACTATTGTGTGGTATTTAGTATTTACTATTTAGTATTTACATTTGAATTTTTAGTTACAAATTACAATATTCATATATTATTCAATATTATATTCTATTGAACAAAACTGCACATAGCTATTGCCTAATATCTAAACAACTGGTATTAGTGTTACTTAATTTGTATTAGTGTTTGGCTAAGTTTTGTTATTAATATATTATCAAAATTAATGCTTTAAAGGGTGATACTGAAATTAATGAAAAAGAAAAAATTTATTTAAAGGGAATCAATGAAAAGATAGTGTCCACAATAGGAAAAACAGAAATAGATTTAATTATAGATAATATAGCATTTGGAACAGAATTTTATGTAGTTAGTAAAATTTTTCAGATATCCGGCGACGGAATAATAGGTAATAAGTTTTTAATAGATAACCACGCAATAATAAATGTTGCGAATAATACAATTACGTTAAATGAAAGCAAAATAGAAAACGATAATAATATTTGTTTTACATTGCAACCATGTTCACAAACAGTAGTGCAAATCGATATAGCAGATAAGGCAATGAATAATAAAAATATATTAATTAATAAACAAGAATTATTACCAAATGTATATTTCGCGAATATTTATAATAATGTTAAAAACGGAAAAATAACGATAAGCGTGTTAAACATATCTGAAACGACGCAGGATGTAAATGTAGGTCAAGTGCATAAAATATCATACGAGAATGACATAGTAACACACTGCGATTACACACACATTCATACGCGTGATATAGAACGCAAACAAAAAGTGAGGGCGTTAATACGTACAGATCACCTTCAAGTTCATAAACGTAAATCAATAACAAAAATCTGCGAGGATTATTCCGATATTTTTTATTTAGAGGGTGATAGTCTTACGTGTACGACAGCGGCCGAACATGTAATAAAAGTTCCGAAAGATTTGAAACCAATTTATAAAAAACCGTACCGTTTACCATTTTCGCGACAACCAGAAATAGAAAAACAAATAGATCAAATGATGAAAGACGAAATTATTGAAAGATCAATGAGTCCGTTTAATGCACCACTAATTCTAGTTAAAAAGAAAGAGGATGCATCGGGAAAACAAAAATTCAGAATAGTTATAGATTTTAGAGCACTTAATGACGTAACATTAAACGAGTTTCACCCGTTACCAAATATAACGGACATTTTGGATCAATTAGGTCAATGCCAATTATTTACATTATTAGATTTAAAGGCGGGATATTGGCAAGTAAGTTTAGCAAAAGATTCAAAGGAACTTACAGCATTTTCCACGGGGCAAGGTCATTATCAATTTAAACGATTAGTGATGGGGCTAAGTTCAGCTCCGGCGACATTTCAGAAAATTATGACAAATGTATTATCAGGTCTAATAGGAATAAAGTGTCTGGTATACTTA